TTGCTTCCATACTTTTAACTACCTATCTAATTATGTCTATAAATAATGAACTCATTTTATAAGAACTATACCTCATCAAAGAGATCACAAGATCTATAAGGAGGACCTCTTTCTGAAACAAAACCTGCAAATGCCATTCCATTGAGTACTTTGGTGAGGAAATCATTCTCGACCAAACCACGCTGCCCCAAGAAAGCTGTCTGTAAAGAAAGAAAATGTGAAGTAATAATTTATCACTTGGTAATAAACAAATGGTCAAAATAAAAATATAATGAAAATATCAAAGCCTGTATAAATGCCTTCATGTATAAATATGTGTTGTCATAAAATACATTTCTCTCAAAAAGGATTTTTGTCTGATCTGAAATACTGCATATATTGAAAAGAATCGAAATGAATCTGTATATATGGCAGAAGGAGAAACCAGAAATTAACATTCAACTTTAAAAGAAAAACCAATTTAAAGTTAACATACTCTAAAGGATAACATTATGTCAGTTCCACAGTATTATTATAATAAGAACTATACGAAGCAGAAATTTTAAATAACCACATTTAATAAATTAGGCTCAAAACATACATGGCTAGAAAAGACAGTCAAGTAGTTTTATTAAATTAGGGTCTACTTTTTGGACAGATACAATATAGTACTGTTATCTTACTTTATGAAAATGTATTACTGGCTCTGCATGAATTCTTATAAGTTGTAGGCATGATCTATAGCCTTGGAAAAGTTGTGCAAATAATCTAAGGAAAACTGCCCGCACTTCTTTATCCTGAAAATATAAGAAAAAACATGTTAGGTAATTTAACTTCTTAAAAACAAATGAAATATCATCAAGTCAAAAGGGTGGAAAGTAAAAAGTTGGAAAGAATAAGTCTATCTGTGCTTTCCACATGTAAGACTCCTTTGTGGCAGCCCTTAGTGGGTGGCTAGTCCATCCCATTGTTGGGCAGCTTAGGATGTTCTTCATATGGAACCAAATAAAACTTCCCCCTAATACACTGAATTTTCCTCTAGGGAAAAAATAAGTCATGAAGTCCTCTCTTCTGCTATGTTAGAGAAGGGCACATATCCCAAGTCCTTTGATTTTTATATCTACTAAAAGAATTATAGTCATAAATATAAAAAGAAAAAAACCCTCAAGATTATATTTTGAAAACTTAGGTAATTCTTCCAAAGTTTATCTAATTTACATAAATCTATTCCTATATTAATAAAGTATGACAAAATCTGTTTTGATAATTCAAGTTTTAATAGAATCATCGTTTTAGAACTATAAGGAAACTTACAGATTTATTTAGTCGACCCCTTATTTAATTGATGATGAAATGAAGGTCAAGAAAGCTTAAGTTAAATTTTTGTTTATAGCTCTCTGAGGCTCCTTATTGGCTACAAAACTTGCCTCTAAGAAATGCACGAGGCAAAATAAAAAAGGGGGCCTCTGTTACACATTCACCCTTTTACAGCTTCTAATTGGAACTATTTTCATCCACTCACTCCTCAAACTTGTTCTCTCCTATTTTCAGCATTTTTTGTTTCCATTTTTGTAAGCTTCTCTTTTGTTTTTAATCCTTGTCTGACTCTTTTGATTTGATGCTTGGCACAGTTTTCCAGGCTATAATCTAGGTTCTGACTTTCCATCCTATACTTACTCTTATCTCCTCAGGGCAGGAGTTTTAGCCCTACTTTCCTTCTGGCCAGTGCACTGCCCTGCCTCTTGGCTCCTCCTTGAGTAGGATACAAGAAAAGTCAGTGGCAATTCTCCTGATTTCTAATTTGCGGCACTTTTTTACCATGCTGTCCACTTTTCCCTAAATTCACTCACCTTCTTTAATAACTCTACAAAATAAAAGTACAATTCTCTTTAAAAGCATCAAGTTTAAATATTAAACTTCTTACCAGCATTTTTGAGTGCGATAAAGCTGTTCGTGGAGGAGGAAAAGCATGATCTGCTACTTCCAGATCTGGGTGTAAAATCTAAAGCAAAGAAGTTTTGTTATGTAAATTATCTTAATATCAATAAAATCTATTCTTGGGGCAATAAGATGTAAAGTGTCAGCACATGAATTATGATATATGCCTCCATGAAATTCAATTCAGTTAGCTGAGGTAGCTCTGTAGGTACTATTGTGGAAAGATCTCCACGACAAAATATTTAGTGAAAACAAATGTTCTAGAAAAATACACATAGTATGGTTTCAATTATTTGAAAATAAAATAAGCCCTAAACCTATATATGTGCATACACTGATATACATATTAATGAAAGTGAAGAGTTCTAAAAGAACATACACTAAACCATAAAATAGCAGTACCTTTGAGAATGGAATGGTCTGGGGCAGAGCTATTTGTCTAGATAGATGAATTTTTTTAAATTTTTTTTTTTATTTTTTAGTGCAGTAGTGAGGAGGGGGGATGTAGTAAAACAAGGAGTTCAATCTGTAACTGACTGTGAACAATCAAGTGAGATAACTCACCACCTTCGGGCCAGCCGAATTTTTTAAAACAGGCATTTGTTTTTATGTTTTGTAGTGTATTTAAAAATGAATCAATTAATTAATTACCTGAAATACTGAGGAGAAAGGGAATAAGCTTTACAACTTTGGAGTCCAGAAGAGAAAAAGTATAATATAATGTGACAAGTGCTATAAACAAATGAAGTATAATATATGAAATATGAAATATGATAAATTAATTGTAGAGAGAGCTAAATAAAAAAGAAGGTAACATTTGAGTTAGTCTTTGAAGGAAAGCAGGTTGGGGAGAAGGTGGGAAAGAAGGGCTCATGCAGGCAGGACTTACACAGAAAGAAACATGAAATTGCATCAGTATGTAGCAAAGTTTTGTCTTTGCAGAATCATTTTTAAATACTAAAGTTTCTGATGGTATGCTTAGAATAGACAAAAAGACTCAAATTAATACTTAAAAGCAACACTACAATATCAACAATAATTATAACCCAATCACTGTATCACTACATTATAATAATATCTTTGTGTCTATAAAATCATGGTTAAGTACTGTGATGCCATTTGATAACAATTATTTACTAACCAAACAAAGCTCATATACATGCGTGTCAAGGTTCCCACATGGTCCATCAAATCTGATCGCTTTTTGATCCTAGCTTGACAATATACTCTGCGCTTACCTCTTATTCACAGTACCACACTGTAGCACATGATCCACCATTGTGCTGAGTAATTATAATTGGTATACTCGGTTTTAGCAAAAATGAATTTTTCACTTTGATTTGGTGGCACAGGTGTTACAGGTTAAGGTATATGAGTGTGCAGCAGAACACCAACCAGGCACCATTGAGGTAAGAACTAAAATCTTAATCTTTTTTAATTTTGGTACTTAATCTCTAAATAATTATTAATATCACTAGTAAGTAATCACATATGAGAGTTAATCACTATAAGATTTCTAGAAACATTAAACTTTCTTCAGTCATTCAAATACTACCTTATCAGCTTTTGCTACATCTACATACCATCTGTACGATTACATAGTTAATATTTTTCTTTAAATTGTCTTTACATCACATTGCCTTTTTAAAACTAGTATTTTCTTAGATATCATCACCTGTGAAATCACAGGTTTTATATGTGTATTTATATTCAAATTTATATTTAAATAAATGTTATAATAAATATGTAATTATTAAAGTAAAAAAGGTTGACCACCTACCACCCAAAATCATTTCCATGCTTCACTTTCAGAAAAAGTCACCTAGTCACATCTCTGTACAAACATTCATCCTACAGCTAAAGACCAGGAAATAGGCCTAGATATGGGATGTAATTTGCTCAGTAATATTGAGTGGCAGAATGTAGACTAGAATTCAGGTTTCTTATATCCTGGTATTAGTGTCTTTTCTATTCTACTACACCTTGTATTTCAGATTACAGATTATAATTAGGAAAAGTCAGTCTTCTCTAAATTTTCCCATTTCATAGAAACCACTATAACAATATAAAGACTAATACGAATTTAAAAGTTCTCTGAGAATAAAATCCTTCCTGATAATCCTAGACCTCTAAGTTTCTATTTAAGGGGGAAAAACGGTTTTAAACAGCCCGCACTGAAATATTATTAAAGAAGAATATGGAGGCCTTAGTTCTAGTAATATCTTAAAAAAGAATACAGAATTTCTAAAGTTTAATTTTCTGATGATGGATAAATGAGCATCTAAAAAGCTATCAGCAAAATAAAATACTGTGTTTTAAAAATTCAACTAAGGTAAAATAACTCAAAAAAATTAAATTTGTTTCAATAAGAAAAACCCCAGGTCACAAGATTTTTTAAAATTTTACTGCATGGAATGCTGGACATTTAATGTATCAATAAATCACATCTTTTCTGTAGTAATTTGAAAACATTGGCAAGACAAAATCACTGTTTTGCAAGTACCAGAGAGGAATGAGATGCCAATAAGGAGGTTAGGGAACAGAAGCTAACTTCTAATGGTGGATCTTAGGGGAATCACGGATTTCAGGCAAGAGTTGTCTTGTTTTCACAGGTGTATTTCCAATACCTAACACCGTATCTGTTACATCATAGCTACTAAACAAATATGCTTGGGAGGATCACTTAAGGCCAGGAGTTTGAGACCCAGTTGGGCAACATAGCTAGACTCTGTTCTAAAAAAAGGAAAAAACAAAAAAGAAACAATTAACTGCGTTTGGTGGCACATGCCTATAATCCCAGCTACTAGGAAGGCTGAGGTGGGAGGATCACTCACTGGAGCCCAGGAGTTTGAGGCTGTGGTGAGCTATGACAGTACCATTGCACTTCAGCCTGGTGACAGAGCAAGACTGTCTTTAAATAAATGAATGAATGAATGAATAAGCAAGCTGAATGAAAGAATGAATGTAGAACAAACATTCAGGATTCAAAGTACATTCTTTTTTTTTTTTTTTTGAGACAGGGACTCATTCTGTTGCCTGGGATAGAGTACAGTGGCATCATCACAGCTCACTGCAAACTCAAACTCCTGGGGTCAAGCAATCCTCCTGCCTCAGTCTCTCAAATAGCTGGGACTACAGGCACAAGTTATTATGCCCAGACAATTTTTATGTCTTTTGTAAAGACGGGGTCTCACTCTTGCTCAGGTTGGTCTCAAACTCCTGACCTCAAGCGATCCTCCAGCCTCGACCTCCCAAAGTGCTAGGATTACAGGCATGAGCCACTGTGCCCAGCCAGGATTCAAAGTATATTCTTTAGATAACTACTTAGTAAATGAATTCTGTTCTAAATACTATATGAAAATATATTCATGTTTCAAACATATAACTGTTTAAAGTAATTACACTGACAAATATTTTTATTTACAACTATCTTAGTTTCAGAGTTAAATCAAGAGAAAATTACTATTACAAAAAAAAGTCATACCAAAGAAAGAGCTGATTGAGTCTGGTGTAGAAGTGGCTCTGGGAGGGAAGAGAGGTGAATACATTCAGGAATTTTAATGGTGCCTCCATCCAAATCTGCTATGATTACATCTAACTGAAAGAGATAAAAAAATTAATCTATAATTAATAAAATGCATTTGCGTTAAGCAAATTAATTTGGCCTTGACTAATTCAAAATGAGAAGAATCAGGTATGGAAGAGGCTCTTAGATATCCATAGTAATAGAATTCTGGGTTCCTGGCTTCCCAGCTACCTCATATTTCCCAACTTCCTTTGAAATTAGGTGTGGCATGTGACTAAATTTCTGCAAAATAGGACATACGAAATGATGTGTGTCTTCCAGCTCCTCAAAATAAAGGGTCTTGTAAGGCTCTTTTATGCTTGCTCTGTTTCTTCTTCTCATAGGCTAAAACTATAAACTGGCAGCAACACAGTCTTGAGCTTTCAAATTGATGACAATGCCTAAGGGGATTCTGTTCGAGAAACAAGAAGGAAGGAAGCTTGGACCCTAAATAACTTCATAGAGCAAATTTGTCTGGCATAATGGAACGTCTCTATGGACTGCTGCATTAGTGTTAAATAAAACTCCATTGTGTTTGACCCGATGCATTTGTTCCAGTTTTATATATGTGCTGCTGAAGCAAGCACGGAGCAATTGCATTTTAGATGCTTTATTGTAACAGTTTAGTCATATCCTAAATAAATTAGTATTTATTACAAGAATTAACAAGCAAAGCAATTAGTATACAAAGGAGTACTGTTTAGGTGCTTCTGAAAAAACTGATTTTTAGCATTTTACAAGAGTCTACTTAAAAATAACTTACATGAAAATGTAAGAGAAACTAGCCAAGATTAGTGAAGTTGTTACACTGATAATATAATTTATTCTAATTTATTCATTAAAATTTAAAGAACTTTACATTTGGCAACACTTGGTTGGCCCTATCTCCAATAACTGTTTATATTTAGTGGTAATGAAATTATCTACAAACCAGATGGATATGCTTTTAATTAGTACTAATTAGGTTTTATTAAATATGTTTATTGATTTATACATATTTTTATATGGTGATAACTAAGTTATACAGGAACTAGATATTAACATACAAAGTTAGAAAAAATGATGAATTTATGAATGAAGGTCCTGTTTACAATTATAATGTTGAATAGCCTTTTGCTAGTTTAAATGACACCTCTAATTTGATTACAACTATAATTATTGTGTAAATACCAGCGAGCTTACTTCTTTGCTGGCATTTAAAACTAAAACAGAAGTAGAACTAGACAGTCTTAAGTATCAGTAGATCACAGATGTCACATAACCTAACCATTCAGTAAAGAATTTTTCTTATACTCCCTGAAAAGTGTCACGTAATTTGTTTTTTACACTGTACTTACAGTGCTTGAGAGTATACTCCTTATCTTACGTAAGGAAACCCATTCCATCACTGGGCAGCTCTAATGGTTGGAAACACTTATATTGGGCAGAAATGTTTTTATAGCCACTATACCCACTGATTCTATTTTTAGCCTTTTAGAGTTACAAAAATGAACCTTAACCCTTCTTCTATAACAGTAATTTAAATATTTATTTTTAGCTATAAAATAGTGTCTGATTATTACCTGAGAAAATTTCCTTAGGCCTTTAAAGAATATAGTTTCTAAACTCCTGATAATCCTGGATGTCCTTTTATGAAGTGCTTTGTTTTGTTATAGTCTCTTGTAAAGTGTGATAGACAGAACTAAAAGCATTATTCCAGAAGTAGGTTGAACGTAGAGTATTACTTTTCCTTCTCTGGTATTTCTATTCATATGGTATTAAGAATACAAAAATGTGGTGGGGGCTCATACCAAACTTGTGCTTCACTAAAACATTTCACTCTTTTGCAAATGAGTACTTTGTTAGTTATCAGCTATTTAGTATTGACAGGCCCCACTTCAAAATATGAATAAATCAAGCACCAATAACAAAAGTATAAATATAATATTAATTTATTATCTTCCTTTCTCACATGTAAGATGAGGAATACATTAAGATATATTTAATATGCCCAAAGAAGGGTATTTTCAAACATTAATGAACTCCTTTTAAAAATCTCCCACACTTGCTATATGGCAAAATTAATATATTTAGACTTTTCAATGATATTTTCTTCCATACAGTCTTTTCTATTGAAATGCAGCAGATTTGAATATAGTACTTAGTTGAAATGTTATAGGACTCAAAGAAATCTGAGAAGCTTCTGGACTCGATAACTATAAGTTTTACAGATGAATACTTACAAGTTCATGGATATCAGTTTTAAAGATAGAATGTACTCCAATAATGAAAGGTGTTGGGGAACTGAGAACTTCCAGTAGCTGAGCCGGGAGAATGGGAATGTAAGGATAACTGGAAATAATAAAAATATGTCAGATACATTTGTTTTTCTACAATATAAACATATTTTCTTTCATTTTTATGCTGTATGAACTTTATGTTAACTATGTTTAGAAATTATCAGTATGTTCAAGCTTGTGAATATTAAAATTTTGGAAAAAATGATTTAAAAATCTTCATGTGTAAGATATGATCAGATACAAGACAAAAAGTAAATGGAATCCAGGCCTGCTTCCTTATCCTTTATTTCTCCTAGGCAAGCAGTCTCTTTAGTTCTTTTAATATTGTTTGAAAGCATTTTTCCTTACATAGAAACATAACGTTAGACAGTATCATTGACTCTCTAGTAGGTCCTCCCTTCTCAATACTAGCCAATGACTTGCCTATATAGAACAATCATTCAAATTCCATTTTCTATACTTGATTTTTGCATTCAAGAACAGCAAAAATAAAATAAGGCCAAGAACACTCTTTTATCTAAAAGGTTAAGACAAGCACATAGATTAAAAAAACTTTTTTAAGAAATTTTGGAGACAGTCTAAAATTTTATCTAGTTTATATGAACTAGTTTCCTAGATGTTATGATTATCAAATTGATTATAGTATACTGGAGGTAAAATATTCTACTTAAAGCATTAGCAGGCATCACAGCTTAGATTTTTTTGTTTTAACTTTTTATTAGGGAAAATTTTTAAAATACTCCCTAAAAAATAAGAAAAAAAAGACTTATAACGAAGCCCCATGTATCCAATCCGGTTTTGACAATTACCAATGCATGGCCACATATATATTTCTACCCACCTTTGTTCTCTTCTCTATTATTTTGAAGAAACCCCAGGCATTATATAATTTACACATAAATATTTTAGTGGGTATCTAAGAAAGATAACAGCTCTTTTTATCAGTAAAACCATAATACCATTATAACCCCTAAAAATTAATAATAATCCTTTAATATCAAACACAGCACTGACTAAAGACTTTTATCACCAATTGTATTCAAAGAGAATTACATGTTGCTGACACTATTCAAATTAAATATTTTTTCAGTAAATTAATCAATACTAAGCAATGGACAGCTTGGAAATCCCAAATTCTAGGCTAGATTTTATCAGAATCATAACTCTCATAACAGCATAACTTTGTGAAATATGCCTACATAGTTCAATACCATTGTGCTATAACATTCTGACTTACCATCAATAAGTACTGCACAATTGGGAATAAATAAAATTACCAAGAAAGAACCTCACCTATATTTAAGTGGAAACATTAAAGATTCCAGGGCTCTACAAGCATCACTAAGTCTCTGGAAACTTGCAGAATGGAAGAGAACTTTATTTTCTGTGAGTACTGCACAAAAGAGGCTGAGGACGTTTTGAATTCCTGAAACACAAAATCAAAGGCTTACCAAGTGCATTTAATCTTATATGTGTTACCAACAATTACAGACTTAGTATACCATGGGGGGAAAAAACCCCAATATTTTTGGAATCGCTGAAGGAAAGTATTTGGTTAAACTGTAAATTCCATATAACCTATGGGTATTTGTTTTCTCAAACTTTCAGTTTTGTATTTATTCTTCAAATCAGTGTAATACTCATTGAACATATTAGTTGTTTGGAAATACACTATTACCTTCTTTTCAACTTTATCTCTAAGGTCTGTATTTAAGTTCCTGTTTTAGATACCAGTATTATTCTATTAATTCCACCCCCCTGCACACCACAGAGTCTATTTGTCTGATGTTAATAACACTGTACCAGCTTTGTTGTTGTTGAATTTTGCCTGTTGTATCTTTTCCCATCTTTTAACTTCTACCTTTCTCTGCCTGTAAATAGCATATACAGATGCTCCTCGACTTAGGATGGGATTACATCCTGATAAACCCACTGCAAAGTTGAAAAACTGCAAGTCGAACCATCATAAATCAGAAACTGTCTGTAATTGAAATCATTTTTAATTCAGTCTGACAACCTTGTCTTTTAACTAAATCATTTAATCAACTTACACTTGTTGTAATTATTGAGATATACACTATACATATATACAGTATCGTATTCTATATTTTTTATTTATTCCACCTCTTTTTTCTCTTTTTGATTTCTCCTGCCTCTTCTTTTATTCCCTCTGCTAGTATGGAATTTATAAAGTCTGTTTCCATGTTTTTTAGTGGCAACTCTAGAAAATACAACATGCAATCAATTTAACTTATCAAACTGAAGTTAATAAATACACCATTTCTTAATTTCTTCTTTTTATTACTAAATCATCTTTTTAAATATCATTTCAACCTTAATGACATGGCCCTACTGAATCAAGATTCCCTATTTGTTTTCTCAAGGTAAAATACTTCCTATATCTCCCTTTGCCATAGCTAACTCCTTCACGTGACGTGCAAATTTCCTCTTGGTCTGTTATTAATTGCTATTCCTTTTTATCATTTCTACCTTCTGCCATGTGATACATCAGGAACTTTGGTTCAGATTTTTAATTTTCTCTTATTTTGACTAATGTAACAGTTTCATAACTAGTTTTCCTAATCCAGTCCTTATTCCCTTCAAATCTGTCTTCCAGACAGTTTTTAGAATGATGGACATAAAATAAAAATCTGATTATGTCACTTTTGTTCCTTCAAACCTTTTGCTATCTTCCTATCTTTTGGGCATGATTTTCAAATGTATTTTGCTTTACATAAGCAATTTAGCAAGAGAAGCTTTGCTTCATCTTGCTTTACGTATTAATCCCCGTTTCGGTTGGTAAAATGGAAAAAAAAACCCCTATTTTATAGGGTTGATATGAAGAAGAAATGAGATCATAAATATATTAAGTTCTCAACACAGTACCATGGTAAATAATCAATATATGTTAGCTGATGTTATGCTTATTATTGTAATTGCTGTAGTTGTTACCATTACTTTCCTTTGAAGTTAGGGTTCTATTGCTAAAAATGTTTGAAAACATGTAACCTACAAAATTAAGTTTGAGCTCCATTCCAAAGCATCTCCATGGTCTTACCAATCTTTCCATCCTGTTGCCACCTCTTACTAACATGTGATCAATATTGAACATATCTAACCCTCACAACACTTTTCACTTTGATATTTCTGCTTCTTATGCTCATGTTCCCTCCATCTGATGTCCCTTTCATTAAAATGTGAGTTCCTCAAAGACTATACTGGGCTTTATACACTGCTATACCCCTGCTGCCTAGCAGAGTACCTAGTTTATAGTCCGCACTCAAAAATGTGTCACTGAACTGACAAACTCTCTGAATAATGATGTGAATCACTATCAAAAGACTTTAAAACTTTCAATAAAAGGTGTCAGACAGCACATATAAGTGAGATCATGCAGTATTTGTCTTTCTGTGCCTGGCTTATTTCACTTAGAAAAATGTCCTCCAGCTTCATCCATGTCATCACAAATGACAGGATTTCCTTCTTTTTTACGGTTGGGGTGGAGGGAGGGAATGGGGGAGGTTGTTGATCAAAGGGTATAAAGTTTGAATTAAACAGGAGGAATAAGTTTTTGAGATCTGTTGCATAGCAGGTAACTACAGTCAATAATAATGTATATTTCAAAATAGCTAAGAGTAAATTTTAAAGGTCTCACCACAAAAAATGGTAAGCAAAATTATGAACGTGTTAATTAGCTTGATTTAACCATTCCACATTATATACCTATATCAAACATTATAATGTGTCCCATTATGTATACAATTATGATCTATCAATTAAAAACAATATTAATAAAGATGTCAAGAAATATCTTTATAGATTCAGATAGGAAAAGTATAAAAATACACAAACCATAAACAAAAAGATCAATAAATTCAATTATTTTAAATTAAAAATTTGTGTCAAAAGATAACATTAAAAAAGTAAAGCCAA